CTCCACATGTCCTCTGCCCTTCCTGGCTATGGATTGTCTCACCAACTGTGTCTACTTCACCAATTCAGAGTGGATGTGGTTCGATGTACCTGTTCTATCTGCCCCAGGACAAAGCTTGGGACATGTCTGTCTATTCCTCTCCATTTTGTCTCCTCCAACACACACTTCTGTTACTTAAGTGGGTACGTGATAGTTAATGATCAACAATTAACCTGATAACTATAACAATAAGGTTATTGTTATCTTGTAAAGGTTCATTATATTATCCATTCAAGAACAACCTTTTGTGTTTAAACATTTGTCTTTTCAAAATCTGCTTTATAGTATTTTATGACATCTTGTCTCTTGAAATATTCTTTTTTATATTATTAAACAGTGTAATCATTTTATTTTATAACCGGAGGTCAAAATTATAGTGTCTGGAATCCTAGTTGGTCTTTCTGCCATTTGTTTGTTAGTTTCTATCTCTTGCTTCTGTGAATTGCACCATTGTCTGAGTTTGCGTTTTGGCCCCATGTTTCTCTGGACTTTTCTGTGGGAATCCTCTGAGTCCAAGTTGAACACAGCCTTACAAAAAGGACTTGCTGCTGCCAGGTGCCCTGGGGCCCTATCCACGCCAGCTCATTTTAAGTAGTTTCTGAAACCACACCTGTAATGTAGGTAAGTTCAATCCAACACTCAGGTAAGGGAAAGGTTTTATTTTTAAATTCTAATGCAGGTCAATCTGGTAATTTTTCCTCTGCTATAAACAGATACTTATCAGCCTATCCTTCCCTGGGAGGATTTCCAGTTCATTCTAAGTTTCCAATTAGTAAAACCTACCGATCTCAGCACCAAGACTTCCTCCCCTGCTCTTCTTATGGTCATTAAGAGTCAGAGATGGGCACAAGCTTCAGAATGGGCACAGCTTCAGCCTCCAGGTACTACCATGATTTTCTTCTGATTTTTCTATATTTGATTCCTTCAACTTCATTTTCTTGCAAACACACTGATATATTTCAAAACGTTAGTAATATTTCTTTGGCATTTATAGGGGTTTGGTAGGGGGAAGGTTTCCCCCCAATATCTAGCCTGCCATAATTTAAAGTCTCATTACCAAATGCATGTAGACAGGATAATCTGAAGGGAAAAAAAGTAATGAAGGTAAGAAAGATAGTTTCTTATAATAAATAAGTCATCTCTTAATCCCTTGGTTTTGGAGGAAAAGTAATGTACCTGATTAAGTAGGTACATGTTTCTATTAGAACAGACACAGGACTGCAAGGGGTTTTCACAGGTGAGTAAAATTTACATACAGCACCAATCCCATTACTTTTGCTCAGTTCACCATAGATTCTGATTGAATCCACCATGGACTTCAGGGATGAGACTTACACTGTGCATGCAGGGATGTGCTAATTTGGGAAGGTTTTCTGTAGTGATGACACCTAGAAGATGACCTTTGTTCAGCAAATATATTAAAGGGTTGTTGAATTATACAAAGGTAGGACAGAAACCTGGTTTGGAATAATGGACTAGTCACCGGGTCACCTATACTGCTGTACATAATAATGAATAAGCCAGTCAATGAAGGAAAAATACCACATGATCTCACTCATTCATGGATAATAGAGACCATTATAAACTTTTGAACAATAATAGATACAGAGGCAGAGCTGCCTCAAACAGATTGTCAAACTGCAGCAGGAAGGCCGGGGAGGGTTGCGGGGCAGGAGGTAGGGGGGTAAGAGATCAACTAAAGGACTTGTATGCATGCATAGAAGCATAACCAGTGGACATAAGACATTGGGGGATAGGGGAGGCTAGGGGACTGTCTAGGGCGGGGGGATAAAATGGACACATATGTAATACCCTTTGTAATACTTTAAGCAATAAAAAAAAAAACAACAAAAAACAAAAAACAAAAAACAAACAAACAAAAAAAAATAATGAATAGTAGTTAGCAACTGGAGATACATTAAAAAGAAAAAGTCTTAGAAAAAAGGAGGCCTCAGAAGATGACAAGATTGACTAAAATCACCACCACCACATGAATGCAGGCTATATAACCTTCTTAAAAAAACTCAACCAGACAGGTTTATTGGGATATAGATCATATGCCATGCAATTCACAAATTCAAAAGGTACAATGTAATGGTTTTATATATATTTGTGTAACCATCTATAATCAATAAGAAATTTTCATCACTCCACCAACTCCCCCCAAACACAACACATGAACCAAGAGGTCATCAGATTGATTCCTGATGAAGCCACGTGTTTTGGTTGTGAGCTCGATCCCCAGTAGGCAGCTAATCCATGTATCTTTATCACTGATGTTTCTATCTCTCTATCCCTTCCTTTTCTTCTCTCTCTAAAAATCAATAAAAACATTTAAAAAATAATAAAGAAATAAAATCATATTTCACATATTAAATATATACAATTATATTTATCAAAAAAGAGTTATGTCCATTTTCAACCTCATATAGTTTTTTTAAATGCAAGATTTTTTGTATGTATTATGAAATTAAATTGATGCTTTCCAACCAGGTAATAATAGCTGTACAAACGTTACATATTTCAAATATTGTAATAGACATTGTACATTTAGCCACAGAAAGGCTGCCCAGGGTAACTATGTATCTATTATCTATCTGCCTGCATTCCTGTCTGTCTATCCACATGCGCATTTGAGTGGATTGACAGCAATTTAATATTAGCAGTGGTTACTTGAGTCAGTGAGAAATTTTTCACAGTCTCTGAACAATTTTTAAAAGGGCGTGGACTCGGTGTGTGGGTCCGGCTAATAGTGTTTGAATATGTCACTGCAGAAGTGAGAATCCCTGTTAGAACCTGGTAGGAGTTGCCCTTCTCAGGAAGGGAATGTTTCCTTTCTCAGTGTGGCTTCGCCTCTGGAATTCCTGGTTCACATGCAGGACGGAGCTCTAAAGCTTTTAGAGGCCTCTCTCTTACAGGCTTTCTGCAGGCTCTCAGCTCCTGGAAGGTTTCAGTGGGGACTGCCCTTTGCTCCTTCAATTTGTCCTAGTGTGCAATGTCCTTTTGGCACTGCTGCTGGTAGCACAACATGCTTTCTGTCAGCTAGATCCCCAGAGCAATGGCAGGAACGTAAGTCAACACTAGGTTCTCTAGGTCTATAACGAAGGAATAATGAAGAAATCCTTTATGGAGACAGAGAGGGAGAGTGAGAAGACTGTACTCTAAATAGTACAAGAACTTAGATAAGTATCCAATTCCTGTAATATTCAATATGATATTAAACAATCAAATGTTAAACTTTCAGGAAGAAGCATGAGGAATGGTGCTGGGATGATAAACTATTCATTAAGTTGTTTACTCGTGTGTTTAAAAATTTTTATAGTATGGTTTACTACATGCCAGGAGCCCTTCTACATGGCTGAGTCCGTGATAAACAAAATAGGTAATGTTCCTGCCCACTTGTATTCTAGTGGAGGAGACAAATAATAAGCATGAACAAACTGGTGATAAAAGGTAGTGAAGTTCTGTGAAGAGTAATAACAATATTGGCCACTAGATGGAACCCGTTGCTTTATTCCTTTCTTCCTTTCTTTACCAATCATTTCCAAGAGACACGGTGAGCAGGACACACTGTTCATTAAATAGGTTTTTGGGGCCAGGTGATAGGCACTGTCTCTCGTTCTATCTCTCTGTCCCAAATTGGATTTCTTTTTTCCACTAATTGACTGATAAGAGAAATATGGTTAAGACAAACTAAGGAGCCATCTGAGATATGTTGGGGTAGAGGGATTAGAGAAACCCTTTTCTAAATCTGAAATCCTGTCCTTTCAATTTTTTGGGCATTTAGTTTTCTCTATTATTTAATCTCTGTCTTCACCAATAGACTATGAGCTCCTTAAGAGAGGGACTACAACTATATTCCCACTCCTTGGCAGAATGTGATAGGTACTCAACCAATGTTTTTTGAATGAATGATCCCTGTAGCAATGGCTGCTTTTCATGAAGCCTCATCTAACTCCCTAGGGACTCCGTTTTGTACATAGTTTGGGGGGAAAAAAATCTCTGAGTAAGTTTTCCTGTCTTGTGTTCTATGAAATCCTGTCTGTTAAAGAACTCACAGTGAGTGGGAAGGGTAGAGTGTGTGTGTGTGTATGTGTGTGTGTGCATTTGTGTGTGTGTGTAATAGGTATATTATGTGGCACTGAGTTCTGAGCCATATATTTTCCTCTTTCTGTTTGGATAAAAGCCTAACACACAATGGATAGATATATTTAATTTATCTTTATTGTTGAAAGTATTACAGCTATTCCCCCTTTTTTCCCATTGACTCCCCTTCCCATACCCACCTGCCCCCCACAGTTGACATATTTTTAGTGCTCAGGGAAACTTAACAAATAGTAGGCACATGCTTTTGTCAGGGATAACTCTAAAAATAAGGGTCTTGAATCTTCTTCTCTACAATGAGTAAAAGTAACATTGTAAAAACTACAAGGGAGTTGGAATCTAAGGAAATTCATACATCATGATTGATCCCGTAATGTCTTGGTCTTAGAATGTTTTTCAGCATAGAAGATTGTGTGCATGTTTAGTTATATTTCTACCTAAGTATTCCATTTTTAAAAAACAGCTATTGTAAGTGGTATAGTTTTTTAATTTTTATTTCCAACAGTCCATTGCTTTTATATAAAAATACAGTTGAAAGTGGACTTTTGTGTATTGACCTTGAATCTTACAACCTTGTTAAACTTACAAAGTTGTCCCAAGAGTAATTGTTGTTGCTGTTTTTTGTTTTCGTTGCAGATTCCCTGGGAATTTTCTATGTGGATAATCAAAGTGTGTGAGAATAAAGGCATTTTTATTTTATCCTTCCTTTCCTTTCCTTTCCTTTCTTTCTTTCTTTATTTCTTTCTTTCTTTCTTTCTTTCTTCTTTCTTTCTTTCTTTCTTTCTTTCTTTCTTTCTCTTTCTTTCTTTCTTCTTTCTTTCTCTCTTTCTTTCTTTCTTCTTTCTCTCTTCTCTCTCTCTTTCTTTCTTTCTTTCTTTCTTTCTTTCTTTCTTTCTTTCTTTCTTTCTTTCTTTCTTCTTTCTTTCCATTATTGTAGGAAGCCTTTCATTATACTGTTTACCTGGAGAGGAGAGACTGCACATCCTTGCTTTTTTCCTGGGTTAGGGGCAAAGCATTTCGTTTTCCATCATTAAGTATGTTAGGTGAAGGGTTTTTTGTAGATTTCTTTTATCAGCTTAAAGAGAGTCATGTTTTCTCAAGTTGTGACATTTTTCAAGTTTCTAAAACTGCTTGAGTTATGCCTTGGGTAGAGTGACCAGTGAAGCTCTTTTCCTTAGGTCTTTAGCTTATGATACATCTGTTCCTTCTTCTTTCCATGTTATTCTTGAGATTCTCTATTTCTCTCTGAAGTTGTCTGCTCTCATTTTGGAATCCTTCCTTTAGTAACATGGCCTGTTCCTAAAAAGGGACAAATAAAAAGTAAATCAAGTACAGCAGTAAGCAAATCTCAACTTCTAGCTAGTTTCCACATTCATCATTCTTTTTTTTTTGAGTATTTAATTTCTTCTTGCAATTTTCTCCAACATAAATATTCATAACAAGAGGCTCAGTGCATGAATTTCAAGCAAAGGTGTGGTTCCTAGGCCTGGACGGCAATTGAAGTGCAAGCGTCTCGTATGGAAAGGCAGGTCCCAGCTGACCTCTGGGTACTGGGCAGCATCTGGGGCCCCTCATAATCCTTTCCTCCTGAGTCATTGGTCCCTGCTGGGCTCCCTCAGTGCCATTGGTCACCATCTGCAGGGTGATTGGTGGGGTGATCAGGCCCCACTTGCATTCACCTAGGCCTGGCGCCGTCCACTTACATAGTTCTCCTCTCATCAGGGCCCATTGGGGCCAGTAGCAACTCTACTGCCACCCGCTACCAGCACTGGGTGGCCAACACCTGCCATGCTCCGCGCTGCCCTATGGTGGTCAGTGCACACCATAGCGAGCAGCCGAACTCCTGGTCAAACTCCCAGTCAAGGGGACAATTTGCATATTAGCCTTTTATTGTATAGGATACTTTTACTTGGACATCCTAGCTCCATGATTATTTGTCTTGAGCCTCCTTTAACTAAGAGAGATTTTGGCTTATACCTTCTAATATATTGATAAAGTTAAATTCCCATTAATTCTATACAACCTATGTGGGCAATCTTAATCATGTTTCTTTTCAAGCCTTATAGACTCTTACACACACACACACACACATACACACACTCAAACTTTTATATACATACACATGACAGAAATAAAAAATTCTCAAAATCAAAGGAAGTGTCTGAATCTTAGATCAGGGAATTTGATTTAAGCCTCCACAGCTTGGTGGCAAGAGTAGCAGGACAGAAGTAAGGACATCAAAGCCCCTAACTGTCCATACAGGATTTCTGCACATAAGTCACTACACAAACTAGGAGTAGGGCATAGCAGTCAGGAGTGGCAGACACAGGTGTGAGAGGCAAGGAATCTTTCTGCTCACAAAGGTTCTCTTAGAACCAAAGTCATACCAGGTGTGACAGAAAAACAGTGATTGTAGATTCCTCTAAGTTTGAAGGAGGTTCAGATATCTTACTGATCTGTGTGACCCTATAAAAGCTCATCTTTTCTGAACCTCTGTTTCTTCTCCTAAGGTATAGGTACACAGCAATTCTTGCTTCATATAGTATTAAGCAAGAGACACAGATAAGACATATTTGCAATGCCTGGAAGATAATAGCTACCATTGATTGAAGAATCCTATATAATAAAAGGCTAATATGCAAGTTTTCCCCTTGGGAGTTCGACCAACTGGGAGTTCCACTGCTCACTATGATATGTGCTGACCACCAGGGGGAGTTGCAGAACAAAGGAAGGGCCCAGCTGGAATATGGCAGGCAGGGGAAGTTCCCTGCAGGCAGCTGGAAGAAAGTCCCAGATTGGCCCTGATCTCTGGCCAGGCCTAGGGACCCTACCCGTGCACTAAATTTTGTGCACTGGGCCTCTAGTCTACACTAATAAAAGAGAAACATGGTAATTGGCATATGACCGCTACCCTTCCCATTTGCTAATCAGGGCAATATGCAAATTAACTGTCAGCCAAGATGGCGACCGGCAGTCAGGCAGCTTGAAACTAACATGAGGTGTGCTTGCTTCAGTGACAGAGGACTCCAACGTTCCCTGCCTGCCTTGCCGGCCTCTGAGCCTGCAGTTTCAAACATTGTAACAAATACAGACGCTAAACAAAACTCCAGAAACCAGCTTTCAGCAGGCTGGGATCTCAGAGCTGGAGTTGATACAGAGTTTTGAGAACTGAAACAAACCAGATACCTGCTTTCAGGAGTGGAGGCCTAAGAGCTGGAGCCTCAGAGCTAAAGCTGGCCCAGAATAAAAAAAAAAGAAAAGAAAAAAAGGAGCAGTTGGGAGCTTCAGTCCCAGCCTGAAAATAGCCCTCAGCCCCTCACCCAGACTGGCCAGGCACTCCAGAGGGAACCCCCACCCTGAAGGGTGTGTGACCAGCTGCAAACAGCCATCATGCCCTCATCCAGGCTGGCAAGGCACCCCAGTGGGGACCCCCACCGTGATCCAGGACACCCTTCAGGGCAAACCAGCTGGTCCTCACCCATGCACCAGGCCTCTATTCTATATAGTAAAAGGGTAATATGCCTCCCAGCACCGGGATCAGCGGAGCCACGAGGCCTCCCGGCACCGGGATCAGCGTGACAGGGGGCAACGCCCAAACCCCCTGATCGCCCTGTGGCTCTGTGGGTGATGGGGTAGAGCCATAACCTCCCCAACCTCCCTATCTGCCTTGCTCTGTTCGTGACAGGGGAAGGCGCCCCAACCCCCTGATCGGCCCTGCTCTGTGGGTGATGGGGTAGAGCCATAACCTCCCCATCGGCCCTGCCCTGAGTGTGACAGTGGTGACGCCCCAACTCCCTGATTGGCCCTGCTCTGTGGGTGATAGAGGGCGGCGCCCCAACCCCCTGATCCACCCTGCTCTGTGTGTGACAGGGGGCAGTGTGCCAACTCCCCTATCGGCCCTACTCTGTGAGTGACGGGGGGAGCTCCTCAACCCCCTGATGGGCCCTGCTCTGTGCATGACAGGGGTGAGCTCCCCAACCCCCTGATGGGCCCTGCTCTGTGCGTGACGGGGGAGGAGCTCCCCAACCCCCTGATCAGCCCTGCTCTGTGCGTGACAGGGGGCAGCGCCCCAACCCCCCTGATGAGCCCTGCTCTGTGTGTGACAGGGGGTGGTGCTGCAACCTCCCCATCGACTCTGCCTTGAGTGTGACAGGGGGCGGTGCCCCAACCCCCCAATCGGCCCTACCCTGAATGTGACTGAGGGTGGCATCGAAACCTCCCAATCCGCCCTGCTCTGTGCATGACAGGGGGCGGCGCCCCAACTCCCCAATTGGCCCTGCTCTGAGCCCAAACAGGGGCTGCACCTAGGGACTGGGCCTGCCCTCTGCCACCCGGGAGCAGGCCTAAGCCAGCAGGTCGTTATCTCCCAAGGGGTCCCAGACTGCGAGAGGGCACCAGCCAGGCTGACAGACCCCCCCCTCCCCCGAGTGCACAAATTTTTGTGCACCGGGCCTCTAGTCTATATATATGAAAGCCTAAATGACCATTCGAATGTTCGACTGTTCAACTGGTAGCTATGACGTGCACTGACCACCAGGGGGCAGACGCTCAATGAACAGGCATGAAAACATGGAACAGACTGATGAATCTCTGTGGAAAGGGGGAAGGGCAGAGGGTGGGAAGAGATTAACCAAAGATCTTATATGCATACTAGAGGCCAGGTGCATGGATTTGTGCACTGGTGGAGTCCATCTGTGGGGATCAGGTCGAAAGCGGCAATCTGACATTCCCTGAGCGGTCCCAAATTGTGAGACGGCGCAGGTCAGGCTGAGGGACCCTACATGTGCACGATTCCATGCACCAGAACTCTATTACATTGATAAAGGACTGGATGTGAGATAAAAGATAATAAAAAATTTTTAATAACCAGACATAGGCAGGCTCCAAGTCAGGCAGACAGACAGGGATTGAAAAGTGTAAGTGGGCAAGCAAGGTCCTTCCGGGTTTCGTGTTCTAACAGCCACACAAACAGGTCAGGGAGAGTGGAGAGAAAACAGAAAAAGAGAAACCTCAAAGTGATGTCATTAAATACCTTAAGTTTAAGAGACAGAGCCCTCTCTTGCTCTGCCTTTAACTCGGCCCTCTCCTGCTCCATCTTCTCAGTCAATTGTTTCAGATGTTCCTGGTAACTCTTTTCTTTCTCCTCCATCATCTGCTGATTCTTCTTTTGCATTTCCTCCAGCATTTTTGCTGCAGCCTCTGCAGATTCAGCTTTCACACGTTGCACTGCCAGGAGGAAAGGAAGAAGACAAATTCATGTGGGTGACCACCTTGCTTTTTCCTCTTGGTGAACTTATCTGTTATTGTTGCTGCTGACTGCCTATGCCCCACTGGGACTGACTTTTGCTAGTAATAGTCATCTTTGCTCATATGGCTCTTGTTAAAGGAACCCAGGTTCTCCAAGCCAAATTATTTAAATTTTTAAAAGCTGTTGAGGCTATCTAGTCTCTTGACTTGCACCTCACCTTCGATCTCTTTTTCCTTTTCTGTGAGATTCTGGTCTGTCTGTAGAATTGCATCAATCACAGACTCCTTGGAGCTCAGGTATGCGTGAAGAACTTCTTCACTCTAGGACCCAGAGAAAATGGCATTAGTAATAGGAAATCGCAGGAAGCGCTTATTCCTATTTGCCCCCCATCTTTTCCTGTAGGAATTGCTTCACTTGGCCCTGGTCCTTGTGCTGGTCAAGGACCAGGGTGGGCACATGCTCCAGGTTAGCCACGCCTGGCACCCTATGAAGCAGAAACCTTTGTAAGTGACTGTTATAAATATAGATTGAGAGTCTCTGTTCTCTGAGTGAGGTCTGTACTTTTGGAGCTGTTGGTGCTGTGGTCCCATATGGGGTGAGGAATGATGCCATCATGGAGAGAGCAGATCCAAGGAAAGGAGGTGGCGGGAGAAAAGGAGGAAGGAAAGTAGGGGGTTTAGGGGAGCAACAGAGGGACAGATAAATGCTAGTTACCTGTATTCCCTTCTTGGGTGCCTCAAGATACTTTTTCTTCAGCTCCTGCATAGTCTGTATTAAGAGACGATATCCTCCTGATTTAGAATAAACCCCCTGCTTTATATCTTCTTCTAAAGAATGGAAGATATCCTTAAGTAAAGCTGAGCAGCGATCCGATGATGCTTTCATATTCTCTTTATAAAAGTCATCTCGCCTTTTTTCTAGGTGGGCCTTTAATGTGAAAATAGGAAGTAGAAAAAGTACAGAGAAAATGTTAGCTTGACCTCCGGATTTTTGGAACTAACAGGCACCTCAGCAGGACCACATCCTTCCTCCTGATCCTGTCTTTCTGTTGAAGACCCTTTCTCTTGGAGGTGAAGTTCATGGCAGAGATTGCTGGCTTTATGTTAGCATTGATGCTACCTATATGACCATCATACTGGGCCATGGCCTTTTGCACTGCAGCCGAGTTCTCTATCTGGGCCGAGGCCATGATGGCGTTCTCCATGCAGGGCAGGTCCCCACTGCTGATGGCATTGACATAGGTCAGGACTAGGTTCTCTAGTCCTATAAATACACCTTTAGAAAGAAACTTCTGCTTTTCACATTGGACCAGCGATTGTACATATATGGAACAAATGTGGCTCAATGTAAGCCTGCTCAAGATAACTAAGACTACATCTTTCTTTGCTGTCTGGTACCAACAAGCTTGTGACTTGATGAGAAGCTCTGATTGTTATCTGCATGCATTTAACTAAATTATGAGAAAGAGGATTAGTTTATGCATTATAGGAAAAAAAAGTGCAAACTTTAAGTCAATCAAAATAATATTGGTTCTTCAATTCAATTGCAAATCTTGCTTGAATTTTGGGACACCTTATATAATAATAACAAATAGTGGTTTTTGTCATTTCGAAGTCTAGTAAGAATTCCTTCTCTTGTGATAAATAACCATTTTATTTTCTAGTAGTACTTTGCTTTCTGAAACCCTAATCCATATGAACATAAGAAAAAAATTACCGCTAATTCCTTTTGAAATAAATGGTCTACATCCTTGAAGGAATTCTTGATGAAGACTTCAATGGCCTCTTTCTCACTGGCCATGTGCAGGTCCAGGAGCTCTTGGAGGGTTTCTGTGGGCAGTTCAACCTTCTCAGCCATCTGCTGGTCATAGTGGGCAATGGCCTTTTTCACTGCAGCCGAATTCTCTATCTGGGCCAAGGCCAGGATGGCGTTCTCCATGCAGGGCAGGTCCCCGCTGCTGATGGCATTGATATAGGTCATCACCAGACTCTCCAGCCCTACAAATAGAGAACAAAAGATAACATTTGTTGTAGGTGGGGTGAGGAAACAGTCCATCCTCTATAAATCTGATGGTATCTCTCAACACTCATTTGGCTCACAGCATCTGTGTCCTTAGAATCACCTAGAAGTTTTCTAGAAATGCAGACTCTCAACTTTTGCTCCAGATCAACTGAATTAAATCCTCTTCTGACAAGATCTTGGGTTATATGGACACATATCAAAGGGTGAGAACCTCTGTTCTAGACACCATAGACCTGTGTTTATTGAGTGCATGTGCTTTACCCTAAGCACCGTTAGGATAGGAAATGTACCTCTCATTTATGTCTCTATCATCAGTTCTGGTCCATGGTAAACATTTATAAAATCAATATTTGTGAAACAATTAAAAAGAAGTCTTCTGCCCTGGCCAGGGGTCTCAGTTGGTTGGAGCATTGTACCAAAAAGTTGTAGGTTGATTCCTGGTCAGGGAATACACCTAGGTTGTGGATTCAATCCCCATTTGGGGCGCATGCAGGAGGCAACTGATTAATGTTTCTCTCTCACATTGATGTTTCTCTCTCTCTCTCTCTCTCTCTCTCTCTCTCTCTCTCTCTCTCTCTCTCTCTCTCTCAAATTCATTGAAAAACATCCCTGGGTGAAGATTAAAATACTCAGATTTAAAAAGGAGTCCTCCATTTTATTTATTCTAGCTAAACACTGTCCAAGAGAACTTTCTGTGATGATGGTCGTGTGCTATATGTGCTGTCCAATATTGGAGCCACTAGCCTTGTAATCAGAATTATTAATTTTCTTTAACTCTCATTAATCTACATGTAATTTTAGATAAATGTTGCTACTACACTTGTCTAGTAGCTATCATATGGGATAGTACAGGTCCAGCTTATTGGGGCAATTTTAAACAATAGAGCTTCTTTATTTGTCCTTTTCTATCTTTTCTCACTCATGAAATCTGACTAATAAAATCTACTCTGTATTAGAAATGTGTGTCATCTAGATGTTTCACAGTAATAGTAGCAGATTTGCATTTTTCAAAGCTAAAACTAGGTGGATGCTATTCCATTTTTCTTTAATCTTAACAGTGAGAGTAATGACATGAAAGTGGACTCACGGGGTCCATTGACTTGGATGCCTCCTGAAAGAGTTTTGACTTTGGAATTGCTAAAGATGTAGGAACAGAAGTCAGCAGCTTGTTGCACGAATTCGGGGTCCAGCTCATCATCATGCATTGTCTCAAGTTGGCCTAGCTTCTTCCGATGAGTGGGCCGATCAAAGATAAAGCATTTCTTTTTCGGGAAGAACTTTCGGATACAAAGTCGGGGCAGGTTAAAATTTTTATCTTTGGGACTGGTACCTGGAGAAAGATAAAAAAGGGCTTTGCTTAATATATCGGCTTGGAAACTTTTTCTGTAAATGGTCAAATGGTAAATATATTAGGCTTTGCGGGTGAGGTGGTTTCTTTTGCAAGTATTCAATTCTGCTATTACAGCATGAAAGCAGCCATGGACAATCTACATAGTATTCATCCAGTAAAACCTATTTGTAAGATAGCTGGCAGGCTGCATTGCCTGTGGGCTATAGTTTGCCAACACTTGCCCTACTGCATTGTCATGCTTTAATCTATTTTCTTTAAATAAATGCCCATTCTACTCCATATTCTTTGGCTAATTACAGCATCATAGCCCTCAGCAGGGAAATAAAAATAAATATGATCACCGTACAGGGAAAGGTGAAAGAAAAAGAAACTTGTTCTCAAAACAAGGGAGAAGATAATTCAAAATCAAATCTATGAATTTAGATATTAAACAAGCATTAATTCTTAGAACTAGGCAGCTGAGAAGTAGAAAACTATACATATAAAAACACTATATAGAAAAATAAGATGATGGTTTCTAATGGCTTGTGATTCCTGATAATCAATTCTCAGTCCCCTTTACCTTGCTTGAGTTTGAGTGAAATCTGCAGGTACTCGTCTGCTGAGATGGGTTGCCCATCTGCTTCCAATTCTAGGGAAAAATCCCTCAGTGTCCACACAAAATCTGGAAAGAAGCTCACAAAGTCAGCTGAATCCTCAACCTCATTTGCATCAGGTGAAGATTTTGCCCTTATTTTTTCTGTCAGCTCTGTCACATAGCTGAGTAGCAAACTAAGGAAAAATGGTGTAAAAGTACAGTGCCCCTCATGCCATATTAGTCCCACATATTCCAAATCTTTGTTTTGGCTTTGTTTCTAACCCAAGTGTTAATTCTTCCTGCCCTTGAATTATTTTTCATACTTTCTCTTTTTGTGCTTGATTCGCCAGGATTCACATTCAGGGAGCTGGTATTTAGGTACTAGTCTCCCCTCTGATTTTGATGCTGTTCTGGACCACAAAAAGGATACTGCAGTTGGTCCATGGCCTGCTGGTTTATGGTCCCCATGCTATTGTACACAAAGGTGCTGCTCAGCAGTATTGCCAGGGCAAAGATCCAGGAGTCATTTTGGTTGTCACCCTGGAAATCAGAACACATTTGGGCCAGGATTATGTTTTATTCTCATGGCACTTTCCAGATCAGCAGTAGCAAACAGATGCTCATTTAGTTGAGTGGCTTTTTTTAGATTAACATCTTATAAGAGGAAAACAAATCCAAATGAAAATGGTTGTTAGTAGGACTTGGACTTTGATTAGTCTTCTGATTAGTGTTTTTGGTTACACTGATTCTCACTAGGTCCTCTTATGACCAGTCGCAGATAATTGCAAAACAGATAGTCCAACTTGGTGGGCACTCTAAAGCCTTAAACGTAATTTAATTTTCTCTATGTTTTTACAGCAAAATTGACTTATGTAAGAGTAATAATACTTATAGCTATTTTATCTAGTCATTATTATTCACCTAACACTTTCCATTTTTATTAAATAGTCAAAACAATACTATGAGGCAAATATAGATTGTTTGCATCGGTTTTAAAGATCAGAAAGCTGAGGGTAAAAGAAGTGAAATAATTTGCTAAAGCCACCATGTTAATGACAGAGTTTATATTTAAACAACAATTTAGGACTTCTGAACATTAATCCTTAACTCAAGTTCTCTGCAGGTTAGGACTCATGGCTGATTTTGTTTGTGGTACCTTTATGCATCTGTGTTAACTGGCTTAGCTTATAGCCCAGTGTTGACGAACCTTTTGAGCTCGGCATGTCAGCATTTTGAAAAACTCTAACTTAACTCTGGTGCCATGTCACACATAGAAATTTTTTGATATTTGCAACCATAGTAAAACAAAGATTTATATTTTTGATATTTATGTTATATATTTAAATGCCATTTAACAAAGAAAAATCAACAAAAAAATGAGTTCGCGTGTCACCTCTGACACGTGTGTCATAGGTTCGCCATCACTGTTACGGCCTCTTGTTAATAATTAGAATACTATCTAATGACCACTATAGACTTCTACGATTCTGCCTTATATTTTCATGATTCCTGATTGCAAAACTTGGTCTCTTAGCACAT